GTGTGTGTGTGTGTGTGTGTGTGTGTGTGTGACTCACCAATGAGAGGTTTGAAACCTCGGTAGAGGGCTTGCTTGTTCTGGTAGGTGTTTAGGTTCACAACTCTCTCCATAAGGAACAGGTGGTGACGCAGCTTCTCCGACTGTACAGAACAAAAGGACACCCTTAGACATCCTGCCTGATATTGGTGATTACTACTGCTACACGCAGACATACAGACACACCCATACACACAAACAGACACACACACACACCCATCAGACACACACACACATACACTCACACATACACTCACATAGGCATACACAAATACACACACATAGGCACACACTCACAGACGCCCTTAGACATCCAGCCTGATATTGGTGATTATAGCTACTACACGCAGACATACATACACTCATACACACAAACAGACACACACACATACACTCACACATACACTCACATAGGCACACACACATAGGCACACACTCACAGACATCCTTAGACATTGGTGTTTACTACTAAAACAAGCACATACAATAAATAATTTCTTTTTTAAAATTAGAAAAATAATTTTAAAATTACATTTCATTGACTCCTGTGTAGGGGAACTTGCATTACAATGGCAAACATAAATACATACAGACGTAGGTCATTTTTGGCGGCCTTTGAGATACATCTGTATGCAATACAGCCCGTTTGGCCGACTTTGAGACATGTCTGTGTGCAATACTGCCCACTTGGCGGACTTTGAGACACGTCTGTATGCAATACTGCCCGCGAAAATCCATGATCTTATTCTCTCGGGGCACAACTACAAGACTCACTTTGGTGAGCTCATCCCATTCCTGGGTCAGTTTCTCTCTGTCGGTCAGCTCCACGGTCGTCTCCAGAGTGGACTGAACCTCCGACCCCAGCACCGACGACGCCACCGTGTTCCTGCTCTCTGAGACAAAATCATTTCTTTTTTAGTTTTAGTAAGAGTTTTACGGCACTTGCAACACAATAAGGTCATATAAGTTCAGAAGATTAGAGGTGTTACAAGAGAGTAACAAACACAAAAAAAGGAGAGAGAAGGACAATAGTTTTTGATAGCAAAGAAGGATGAATAATTTGTCCAATAATACTGTAGATTTCACGCGAAATACCACTGTCAGTCCATCACCCTGATAACAAATATTATGTTAGATTCATTGGATGAGCAATTGTTCTCAAAATTACATGTTGGTCTTTAAATTTTTTGTAGGTCAATTAAAATAAAACTATAAACAAAGTTCATAGTGCCAGAAAACCCATGTCTCCCCACGCTACCTCCTGTTTTCTGGATGTCTCTAGGCAGAAAACACTCTTACATCAGTAGTCATGACAACTCCCCCCCCACCCCCTCCCTTTCTCCCTCCCCAAATCCCCCATATCCCTGAGCATCAAGTACTGACTACAACAACTACAATAATCAATCTAAAACGCCCAGTGTGCAAGTGTTTCCCCCCC